GAGGAGGAGGAGGAGGAGGAGGAGGAGGAGGAGGAGGAGAAATGAAAAAGAAATGTAAGAAGAAAATCTACACTCTCAGAAATTTTCAAGTATAGAATACAGTACCATTCATCTATTCCTCCTATGCTCCCCCTCCCTACCCTACTATGAGTTAGCCTCCTTATATCAGAGAAAACATTTGGCATTTGTTTTTTGGGGATTGGCTAACTTCACTTAGCATTATAGATAAAGTCTAGATTGGGAAGAGGGGTGGGAGGGAAAGGGAGGGGGCAGGGGATTAGCAAGGACAGTGGAATATGATAGACATCATTATCCAAAGTACATGTATGAAGACACAAATTGGGTGTCAAAATACTTTATATACAGAGATATGAAAAATTGGGGTATATATGTGTAATAAGAATTATAATGCATTCTGCTGTCATTTATTTTATTTTAGTTTACAAAATCAATAAAAAAATAATACAGTAGCATTAATTCAAGACATCTTATTATGTAATACATCTCAATAGGTCTCCTGTCTGAAACTTTGTATCTTTTGAAAAAAGTTCCATTTTCTCTTTCCCTATTTTCCTCTGACTCTCCAGACCCTTTGACAACCAGTATTTTATTGTCTGCACTTTTGTAAGTTAAAATAATTTAGATTCATATATGTATTAATAAAGAATATTGTCATTGTCTGCATAGTCTATTTTACTCACTGAAACTGTAGTGTTCTAGAGTTCACCCATGTTGTTGCAAGTATCAGGATTTCCTTCTTTAAAAAATGTGTGTGTGTGTGTGTGTGTGTGTGTGTGTGTGAGCAATCATATGTGACTGCAGAATAATGTGGTAGATTTATTTTTAAATTTTTGAGGAAGTTTCATGGTGTTTTCCATATTGGCTCTAATAATTGTATTCCCTACCCTAGTGTATAATGTTCTCTTTTCTCCACATCCATGCCAAAAATTTCTTTTTGTGTTTTTTCATAATAGATACTATATTGGGTATGAGGTAATAACTGATGGGTGTAGGCCTGGACTCTGCATGCACTGGAAACTGGGGATACAAGGAATAGTCTGGAGCCTAAACCCAGCCTTGTGTTGGAGGAGGGCTGGAATCTATTTCTTTAGGGAGTCATTTGGAGCTTGGAGCCTGGGTCTGTGTATGATGAACTAGAAGGCAGGGTCTTTGAAGAACCGGCTGAGTCTTAGGACCACCAGGACAGGCCTTATTCTGGGTTTATCTTGAGGACAGATTGGTGCTGTGATGCCCAACAAAATCAAGTGCTCATCTCATTCTCCATCTCCCATTCCTTTAACTTGATTTAAACATTACACAATGGGTACATGTGTCAAAACCTCACATATTATCCATTTGGGATTTTATGTAACAATTAAAAATAAGTTTAATTTTAAAATAAAATAAACATAAAATTAGAGTTTTACCTTTTAAATGATAAATGTGAACCTTTATTATTATTTCTTATTTCTTGTTTTGGTGGCTATTTTTAAAAATCCAATAATTCATTTATCTTGAAAAAGGATATATACAAATAATACTTTTCTATGTCATATAATATAAGCTTTAGACAAACTTATAACGGGAAGTAAAATGTTGGACAATTCTGAAGGATAGTTTTGCTGTATCTTGGTTTCTCCTACATCCTTTCAGGGTTTGGTATATCTTGTTCCAAACCCTCTTGGTTTTTGAGGCCTGAGTAGAGAAACCAGTCAAAATTTGAATTGGCTTACCTCTATATGTCACCTGTCATTTTTCTCTTATGACATTTAAAATTCTATCATTTTTCTGTATAGTTATTATTTTCATTATAATGTGACTTGGAGAAGGTATTTTTTGATCTTGCCTATTGAGGCTTTAAGTAACTCTTGTATTGGGATTTCTGTCTTTTTCCTAAGATCTGGAAAACTTTCTGGTATTATTTCATTTAAAAAATTGTTATTTCTTTAGTTTGTATTTTATATTTTTCTTCTACCCCAATGGTTCTTAAATTTGGTCTATGATGTTATCCCAGATTTTAAAAACATTCTGCTTATGGTTTCTCAACATGTTTTCTTGGTTTATTTTCAAGATTGTGCAGTTTGTCCTTAAGGCCTGAGAATCTATCTTCAAAGTGGTCTAATCTATTGTGATGCTTTCCATTGAA